TATATATTCTACGAAGAAATGGCAATTTTTTGTGTAACGACCTTAAAGTGTTAGTTGTGTTAGTTACAATTTATGGGAAGTGAAACATATATATATATATTCTACGAAGAAATGGCAATTTTTTGTGTAACGACCTTAAAGTGTTAGTTACAATTTATGGGAAGTGAAACATATATATATATACTACGAAGAAATGGTAATTTTTTGTGTAACGACCTTAAAGTGTTAGTTACAATTTATGGGAAGTGAAACATATATATATATATATATATACATACTCGCGCGTTAATCTCTTAGCTACGAATGACTTGGATATATGTATATATACATACATCCAAGTCATTCATAGCTAAGAGATTAACGCGCGAATTAATTTTAGATCCCTGCAGCAACATTAAAATCGCTCGTGTTCGCGTAGATATTGGCGGGAGATGCTGAGCGTGAACGAAATGGCGAGCGTATTCTGTTTCGCGATCGAGGAGGGCAGAGTACTGGAGAAGGAGCTGCTGCTGGATGGCGATCGATTCGTCGTTCGATCGGACGTGTACGTGACGAAGCTTGAAGCGGAGGAGCCGAAACGCGTGAAGGAGATCACGTCGTCCCTGCAATTCCGAATGGCCAACCTCGCCCGTCTCATGGAGATATTCAAACGAGCCGCGCCGTCCGGCACGATGTGCGAGCGCAGCCTAGTTTATATTCTTCAGGATCTAGCGAGCCACGGCCAGGAAGAGGGAGAGCCAATGTTGCTCCCGTGTTGCTGGTACGAACTTCGACTGAGCGACGTTTCGAGAGTGATCGACAGACTGTTCGAGTCCGTGGACTACGTCGATTGGCGAGAGTTCCTCGTTCACGCGATGGATCTGCCCGTTCCGACCTTGCGAGAGATCTTGGCAGCCAGGGATCGCTTCAGAGCTCAAGATCCCGATCTCAGAGAAGTCGTGTCCCTGACTCAGTATCATCGAACGTCGCTGTGGTTCCACGACTGTTCGACCGAGAGTTTCGAAGAGTTTTTTGATTCGCACGACGAGAAACTACGCCAACTGTTGTACGACGACGCGACCGTTTCGCTGCGATCTTGCGCGCAATTGTTCGAGTCCTGTCCGAGCCCGGAAGAAACGCTCAGGCGAATGTTGGCCAAGGAACTGCTGTGTCGCATGTACATGACCGATCGACGCTCGGTCAACTATACCGCGTTGCTGCTGGCGTTCTGCAAGGACGAGAAGCCGCGGGATGGATTCGCGAAAGCGCTGGCGTTGGCCCTGGGCAGTCGTGTCTGCGCGGATACGGAAGAGGGCGAAAGATACGTAAAGGAACTTGTGGAGCGGAAGCGGTTAGCTCGGCAGCCGCCTCACGAGGCTCTCGAGGTGGATTTCTAACGATCATTGTTATTAACAAATTCGCGACCGGCGAAAGTTTTCGCTTTTCCAATACTTGTTGCCGCAAATCTCTTACGTTAAAACGGAAACGAAAATTAGAAAATTTGTTTCAGAAAAATATTAGTCTTGTAACGATCTGTTGTTCGAAATGAAGAACTTTCCGTTAACCTCTTGCGCTGGAATGACGTGCCACGCATGTCGACGATTTTTTTGTCCCCAAAATTGCAACATATCCTCAGTTTTAAGTTCATTTAAGTATAACTCAGGCAAAGTAAATGATAAATTTATCACCTATCAATAATTTCTATCTAGTGATATCATATCAACGAGTTTAGAAGAGAAAGAAAACGATGAATTATTGCATACGGTTTGGTCACTCGTTATGGTCCGCAATCAGCTGCCAGCGCAGGTGATTAAACCCTCTAACAGACATAACATCTACAGACTTAACGTCTTGCGCTGGAATTACGTCCTCAAAATTGCAACATTTCCTCAGTTTTAAGTATATTTAAGTATAACCCAGACAAAACAAGTAATAAATTTATTACTTTTCAATAATTTCTATCTAGAGTGATGTCATACCAACGAGTTTAGAAGAAAAAGAAAGCGACGAATTATTGCATACGGTTCGGTCACTCGTTATGGTCCGCAATCAGTTGCCAGCGCAAGTGATTAAACCCTCTAATAGACATAACATCTACAGACTTAACTTCTTGCGTTGGAATGACGTGCCACGCACGTCGAAAATTTTTTGTCCCCAAAATTGCAAAATTTCCTCAGTTTTAAGTATATCTAAGTATAACCCAAGTAAAGAAAATGATAAATTTATCACCTCTCGATAATTTCTGCAGTAATATCATACCGACCAGCTTAAAAAAAAGCGACGAATTATTGTACACGATTTGGTCACTCGTTATGGTCTGCAATCAGTTGCCAGCGCAAGTGATTAAACCCTCTAATAGACATAACATCTACAGATTTAACTTCTTGCGCTGGAATGACGTGCCACGCACGTCGACAATTTTTTTGTCCCCAAAATTGCAACATTTCCTCAGTTTTAAGTTTATTTAAGTATAACCCAGGCAAAGCAAATGATAAATTTATCATCACCATTTGTCTCGATAATTTCTATCCATCTATAGTAACATCGTACCGACGAGTTAAGAAAGAAAGCAACGAATGTGTACGGTTTGGTCACTCGTTATGGTCCGCAATCAAGTTGCCCAGCGCAAGTGGTTGAAGAAGTTGGCAAATGGAAAGACACCGAAGAACAAAAACACTTCGAAAGTTATATTCTGTAAATAAACCAGGAATAGACTTTTGAAGTGACGTGAATTCGCGTCAGCGGCCGCGAATTTGTTAATAACTGTCTCTGTAAAATAAGTACCTCTCTCGGGTAAGACGAACGCGACACGTTCGTTCATAGGTGGCAAAGATGATTCTGAAGCGTCTGATGCGTCAGATTCAGAGGAGAATCGATGGAGATTCGGAAGATCAAGAATCATCTTTGGAAGATACGAACACGTTCAAACTTTTCGGCGAGTCGGTCCCCGATGGCGTTGCCGAAGCGGAATCGTTCGGCGAATACGCGTGGATGGAGAGTGCGCCAGAATCCGTCGCGGAGGAATTGGTCATTTACTGGCTCCCTCTCAACACCTGCATTGTAAGAATCTCTTTAACCTCTTCTACAACGACGAGTAAACAAGTTTCGAAAAAGAATATCGATACTTTCTTCATACCTCGAAGCGTTTAAGAATAAGAGTTTCTAAATTTCGATTTGTTCAACGTTGAATTGTTTTCTTCTTTGCTCTCTCTGTCTCGATCGTTTCAGACGGTGCTGGCCGCGGCAGTGCCATGGCGCGTGTTGAACTCGGAGAAAATCATCGGGAAATGCAAAACTCTCGCCGAGAGACTAGCCTCGGTGTACGAAGAATTGCGAGATGTGGATCTCAACGACGAGAAAGATGTTGTTTTGGCGCATCGGCTTCTGAATCACGAATTCATGGCGCAGTTGTTGAACACGGTCGGCAAATTTACGGTCAAGAGCCTGGCAAGTATAGTTGGCGAAATCTTGCTGGAGAGACGGGACGCGTAAAATCTCGTAGATATATATATATATATATATATATATAGGGTAGGCCAAGAATCACTTTCTATTAAAATAAATTCGTGATTTTTTTTATTAATCTGCGAACGCTCCGGCGGTCGACATTTAAGAGAAATAATTTTTGAAACGTGATGAAAAAAAAATCATATTTTGAACATGAGTTAAAATTAATATAAAATTAATTTAAAATTAATAAAATTAATATAAAATTAATAAAAACATTAATTTAAAATTAATAAAATTAGTTTTTTCTCATATTTTGTTAAAATTATTAAAAAAAAAAAAATAGGCGGGAAGAAACTTTTGGCCCACCCTGTATATCGTTCTCGAACATTCAAAGACAAGATAGAAAAACGACAACTGTTGATCGAAAGGTCTGAGGTTTAGGAGGACAAGCTTTAACAGGATTTATTATTTCGATACATCACGAGCGTAACTTGTGAAAAATTCTAATCGTTCCAAACAAATCGTAAGGATTTAGTCGTGTACACGAGGATACACGAGTTTTTACATTTTCCTATGCGTTACTTATTCGTTTCTTGATTCGATTTACGCAAAAAAAAAAAGAAAAAAAAAAAAAAAAAAAAAAAAAAAAAGGGGAAACTTTCTTATCGAACGAA